GGTAGATGGGCTAACTTAAGTTAGAAACTCTGCCTAGAAACAAGCCAAGCTAAGGCCAGGCATTCATAAGTAAGAAGAAGCCTCTGTGTGTTTATTTAAGAGCTGGGTGGCTGGTCCCCAAAGAGCAAAGAGTCAAAAGTAAAACAGAACCAACCAACTACAGCCTACCTTGCATGGAGACAGAAACACCCCACGGGGTGGGGTCCTGGCCTCCAGAGCATCCATCCGCCTTATTTTCTCTGCTCCCTGATCTCAACTGTAACGGGATACCTACTCCATGCTGCAGCCATGGCTCTCCCGACAGGAGGGACTGCCGCCATCCCCCACGCTGTGAGCCAAATCAGGCCCTTCCTTTGGGGAGACATCTATCCCAGGTATCTTGTCACGTAATGGGGGAAGGGTTACTGATATACTTTCCAAGTTTGATGGATCTGTTAATTATCAAAGTGACAGGGTCTCTGCTGGCCTTCCACACACTTGACCATAAATACTGTCTCAAATCATGTGAAGCTACTTCACAGCTAATGCCCCCCAACACACACACACACACACACACACACACACACACACACTCACAGGCAAACTACACATCGGAAAATGCAGATACGGACCCATGAATATGCATACACATTCACATAAGCACACTCATGTACACACAGGTGCGTGCACACACAGACGCACACATAGTGCACCTAATGTGTATTTACACTAACGCACACTTCAGGCTGTAGGTTTTACAGGTGATTGTTACTTCTTTACTTAGATTTCGAAGAATATGCTTTCTCATTCTCTGCATGTCTTCACTTCGTTCTTTTCTGTTGTTTGGGAGTTTTGTTTGTTTGTTTTTGTTTTGGGGGTTATTTTTTGGCTACTTTGAGATAGCTTCCAAGGCAGTCCACGTGGCATCAGACTCACTATGCGGCAGAGACTGGCCCTGAACTCCCGAGCCTCCTGTTCCTGTCTCTCGTGTGCTGGGACTGCATGCATATCCTCACTTCTGCCCTTGGGTATGTCGTGCCAGCTGGAGTCGATGGCTGGAGGAGGGAGACATAGTTACTCCAGGTCCTCCCCTTGCCTCCCGAGTCCAGCTCCTGTGTGGCCACTGTCACTCTTGAAAAACAAGCTGTGCTTTAATGTTTTGGAATTGGCGAGCACGGCTGTAAAGTCCACCACATTAACTTACATTTGGAACTTTATGAAATTCAATACTAATAGAAGTTTACCCTGAAAGGGGGCTGGCACCTCTCCTTGGGGACACCGAGGAAGTCCACTTCAGTTTGCACCCACCTAGACACAAGACCCCATCTTCTACTCATTCACAGAGAAGCTCTGAGTCTTGACAGTTTTGCCTTCCTGCTTCCTCCGCTTCTGCGTTCAGTTATAACTAGGTTTCCAGGCAAGCCATTAGAGCACCTCTCCTAAGGGGCTGGAGAGAGCACTGCTGCTCTTCTAGAGGACCAAGGTTCAACTTCCTACACCTGCACAGTGGCTCACAGCCGTATACTGGCTTCAGCTAGAGTATCGGAAGGTGTCAAGGTTTCTGCGGACTCCCTTGGGCAACCCATCAGGTGACCACTGGGGTGGGGGCTTCTACAGAGGCCAGTCTCACGTTCTGGGAGACGGGACACTCGAAAGAGCAGCCTCCACTAGGAGCAGGGTGTGCTTCTTGCCCTTCTACTCCATCACCTTAGGTCTACATTCCCCACCTAGAAAGGTTAAAGTTTAAAGAAGAAATACTACAGAGTAAGAAGGAAATGTGAAGGCCATAAATGCCAAGGTGAGAATCATTCGTGTGAAGTCAAAAATTATTCCCCACAGAAAAGAAGCTCAGCCCCGCAGGACGCTTGTTTCTGTGTAAAACACAGCAGTGTTGCTTTCTGTTCAGGGATGCAGGGAAAGCTCTGTGAAGGCAGGAACAGGGCTCAGCTGCCCGTTAGGCTGAGGGCAGTCCCAATTCTACGGCTGTGTCTCCATCTCACAACCTAAGCATTTGAATACTATAAACTCAACACAAGAATTTGTCTCTGCACAGCCCAATCTTAATTCCATTCTTGACACAGTTAATTTCAGCCTGTTGCAGCCTTTGTCTCACATCAGAGGTCACCCGGGCGCACTAGCTGTACCTGGACTGGTCATCTTCCGGGTTTTCCCTCCCTGCTACCAACCCCTCCTGTGCAGGGGAACTCCTCGCTGTTGATACACCTGCTGTGTTCCGATCCCTCTGGGAAGAACAGCAGCAGCTGTAGCCTCTCCCTTCTCTGCAGAGCATATCACTAGCTAGAACAGACCTGAGGACAGGCACACGGCACAACCATGACACACAACTGTGTGATCACGGGTATCAGAGACAGGTCATTGAGAAAGCCCAGATGATGTTGTGGGTATTTCATTTATACAGAGGAGAGGGGGGATAAAGCTGGACACCCATGAAAAGCCATTAGTTTAAAGCTGTCATCAGGTGGCCTTCCTTCGAGTCGAGGAGAAAGCTGAATCCGTGGCGAGCGTGGGTGACTCTGGCTGCTGCACCTATAACTCTAAAGGCAACTCTGCCAAAGTTTCAAGACCAACACAGCCAAGCTGAAAATCACCACTTAAGACTTACTTGAAATGCCTCTTCCAAAAGGATGGCTCATAAAATAAGTAACAATATCGTGAGAATGATGACATGGATCCCACTTATCATGCAGGGAGCCTGGTGTGCCCCATACTGGGGCTGACAGCGAGCATGACTGGTCCCTCGGTACACCAAAATGCTAAGTGGAAGCAATAGAACCACCACCGTCACCAGCCTGAGTGAAGGTCAGAGGATGGGATCTTGACTCCGGAAAAGCAGTCTGTCCCACCCGCCCAGGAAAATCCTGGCAGTGTGACTGTCAGGCGACCATTCTCAGCTCTGTCTCCTCAAGGCCCCTGACCACTTAACTTTGAAGGTGATGTCACTCGCCCTCTCATCTGTCGGGAGTCTGTGGGACACAGACATGAACAGCTCAGAGGTGTAGGGACACTAGACAGCCTTTCCCAAGTAACGTCGGTTAAAAAAAGAAACGAAACTATAACGGCCAAAATCCACAACTACATTTGAAAGGTTTTGTGAAGGCCTGTCCACATACCACAGTGTGAACAGCGTCTCGGCACACATGGCACAAAGGCTAACTTGGGCGTGAGGAAGAACCCACAGGAAGTGGATGTTAGGGAAGGATCTGTCTTGTTTTCTCAGGAGAACTCAAATCCAGTGAACGATTTTCGATGGGCTAATCTCATGGGCAAAAACACAGACACAGTTTTAATTGTGATGGTCCCATGTGAGCAAAGTAGGAGCAGAACCAGGACCGTGGCAGCCCGCTAGAGAACTCCAGTTAGCAGGGCACACAGTGGCCCGGGACGGGCAAGCTAGAGAGTGCTGGAGATCATTACAGAGAGGAGACAACAAATGTGAGAGGCTGATGTGCCAGGAAACACCAGGGAGAACACCCCAAAACAGAGAGGTTCCAACTAAGTGCTACGCTTCCCACATCAGTCTGAGCTTGATGCTCCCCACATCAGGCTGGATTAGTAAAAAACAAAGCATTTATACCAAGACCCTAATGAACACCATGCATTCCAAGAGCAAGCAGCAGCCTTTTATAAATATTTGGGGGCTACATGGGGGACAGTATTATAAAAGAAAAACCTCCAAATGGACTCCACTCCTGAGGGCATGAGGGCACACAGCTGCAGTAGTTGGTCCCCAGGAGCCCCAGACGTGTCCAACAGAATGGCACATTCCAGAAACTGAGGGCTGAGATCACTTTTCTTTTTTTTTAATATTTATTTATTTATTATGTATACAACATTCCTTCCATGCCTGCCTGCATGCCAGAAGAGGGCACCAGATCTCACTATAGATGGTTGTGAGCCACCATGTGGTTGCTGGGAATTGAACTCAGGACCTTTGGAAGAGCAGGCAATGCTCTTAACCTCTGAGCCATCTCTCCAGCCCCCTGAGATCACTTTTCATATTGATGCTGTCTCTCCCTATTCTAGTCAGAGCTTCTTTCTTTTCTTTTTGTTTTCTTTTCTTTCTTTTTTGTCTTTTTGTTTGTATCTTTTTTTTTTTTTTTCGAGACAGGGTTTCTTTTGTGTAGCCTTGGCTGTCCTGGAACTCACTCTGTAGACCAAGCTGGCCTTGAACTCACAGAGATCCACCTGCCTCTGCCTCCTGAATGCTGGGAGTAAAGGCGTGCGCCACCATTGTCTGTCTCAGGACTTCTAAGTGCCAATCATGCAACAGAAAAGACAGGGAAGTGGCTGGTCATAAGTATATGGGCAATCCTGGGTCCTTCAAACACCCCTGCCACTAGGCTTACAGATGCGTACTGCCTGACAGTGCTGGGGATCCAAACCAAAGACCTCCAGTCCTGTAACAGAGGCGCTTCACTATCTGAGCTATCCCAGCCCACCTGCCCAGTTCACTGTGATGGCTGGACCCCTTAACCATTTACTCAAGATGGCAAGAGCACTGAATGTCTCGGGGTGCCGAGCAATACTTTTCACCACAGTCAATGGCCTTGGTTCCCCCATCAGCAAGGTGACCTTCACAGGTAAGGTACCAGAGGGAGATACCTGTGATGTCCTGCAAAGGAGATGGCTTGAGGGTGGACTCCACAGGCAGGGCTTAGGTGACATCCTCATTCTCCACGTGAGGATGTTTGGCAAATGCTGCTTCACTGGTTACTCTGGAGACTGCAAACCCAGCCTCTCCCTGCAGGCTCTCGGTTCTAATGGCCCAGCCTTGGCACAACTTTAGATGTGCAGGTGCCTGCATGCCTACCTGAGAGTTCAGCCCGGAGCTTCTGTGTGGAGCCTTTCTCTGCCCTGTCTGACCTGGGGATACCCTAGAAAGCTGCAGTTTCTGCTCTGCTCTTCCCACCCCGATGCTAAGAGAACACGGCGTTTAGAGGAGGGGACTTCGTATTTGCAGTCCTGGGGCAGTGTTGTAGAAACTGAAACCAGTTACTCACCCTGCTGACTTCCTTAGGAGCCGATTCATCTGGGGATGGAGAAGCAAGGAAAGAAGGAGTTAGCATTTGGAAGGTGCACCGAGACACAGCACACGCATTCACTCCTGACACACTTCGGTATGGCTTCCTCGTAGGAAGTCTGAGAGTCTTGTAAAGGTTGAACATAATGAATTGGGAGAATAAATTTATGGGAGATTAAATATCACCGCAACTGTTGGTGCAGATTACGTTTCAAGATTCTAAAATGGAAACATGGTCACACGGGCACAGTCAACTCTACAGAGAAGCTGATGAGCTAAGAAGCTGCAGGAGGCATAAGTTGCAAGCCCCAGAAATGTACCACAGACCCCTTAGTTCATGAGCTCCGAGGAGAGATCCCAGACGGCATGCAGGAGTCTGGTCACTTCCCTGAAACAGTAAGGCCCTGCCACGCCAGCACCCCAGCCAAGCCACAGGGTCTGGAGTAGCTTGTGAGCTGCCGAAGCTCTGGCCACCTCTCCAGACCCAGCATGCAACGACGCTTCACTAGTCTATCCTTTCTCTGAAATAAGCGACACCTTTGCAAGGGTCTTCACTTTGTGTCCTGCGTCATCTTCAGCTGTCTAAGTCTGTCTGCAGGTACAGTGCAGCTGCACCAGAAACTGACTGAGCCCTGTGTGAGCATAGCGGAGCCAAAACCAGCCCTGCGCCAGCTCCCAAGTCCAGACAGGCGTGAGCCTCCTTTTCAGTGTCCCCATCGGCCCATCCCTGGTTCTTAGTGCGTCTTGTGAGCCATTTCCACTACAGTACCAAGTCGGGTCCCACAGCACACTGTGGTTTGCAGAATAAACAGCTAGATTTCAACACTCTGCTGGCGTGTGCTCACTGTGTGTGGGCCATGGCTGAAGAAGGGCTCAGGTACTACATGAGGCTTCTCCAAAAATGAAGAATGTTCCAGGTCTTTTTAACCCACCCCCACCCCCCTTTCTTTTCCAAGACAGAATTTCTCTGTATAACAGAGTCCAGGTTGTCGTGGAATTCACTTTGCAGACCAGGCTGGCCCTGAACTCACAGAGATCCACCTGCCTCTGCCTCCCTGATGCTGAGACTAATGGCCTGTGCCACCACTGCCTGGCCGACCTTCATTATTGAAGGAGCATCGCGGGATTTCTCACTAACTCTTCACCTCTCACTTTATCTACTCCTGAGCCTCTCTGCAAATGGAACTATTAAATCATTATCAGTTCATTAGCGGATTCGAAGGCTATAAAGGCTTAGATTAGTGTGCTCAAAAGAACGGTATCTACGCAATTCAGTGAGCCTGAGTCAAAAAGCAAATTGGCTTGGTGTGGCAGTGTGTGCCCAGGGAGGCTGGTGCAGGAGGAGTGTAAGTTCGAGGCCAGCCTATGTGTTCAGTGGAAGCATGTCTCAAGTTTAATTGAATTAATTATCAAACACAATCATCTTCACGAACATCCAGTGTGGAGTCAAGCGTGTGACAAGGTTTGGCATCACAACAGCGCAGAGTGGCCCCAGACTGGGGCTCCTTCCATCACTACAGAACGCTTTAGAGCCCAACATCTGCTAACAGATGTTTTCCTGCTTTGCTCATTGACCTGGCTTTATCGCTCCCCTTCGAGCATGAACCAGGCTCAAGACCTCGCTGATCACTTCTCACACTAGCATGTGCAAAGGGCACTCTGCCTGCCCATGTCTGCAGAACCGACTGTCTTCAGCTCCATGGACAATTTCAAGTATTTGGAGAAAAGTAAAAACAACTTTTGCCTGTAATTGGTTTATGGATTTTCACCTTGGAATGAATTTAGAAATATTCCCTCCTCCTCCTCTCCCTCCTCCTCCTCTCCCTTCTCCTCCTCCTCTCCCTCCTTCTTCCCTCCCCCTCCTCCTCCTTCCCCTCCTCCTCTTCTCCCTCTTTCTCCCTGTGCTCCCCATCTGACTTAGCACTTACAACTTGCGCTAAACGAATGTCAAGTCTACCACTCGCAGGGAATGTTTTGCTGTGGGTTACCAAGGAATCCACACTCCCTCTTCCCATACTGTTTGCTGAACTCCCCTGTCCCATAGAGTCCAGCATGTAGGAGTTAGGAGCACCTCGGGACTGGTGCTCAAGCAACCAATCCTGCTCTGCTAGGCCCAGCTGTGCTCCTAAGAACGTGCTAGACTTGCGAGCCAAAAAACATACAGAGAGACACCGTCCTAACAATGAGAATTGTTACTGAAAACAATTCTTCCAAAAATACATAAATAACAAAGAAGAAACCTGCCCCCTCCAGCCCATGTTGTTACTATTGCTGGTAGGTCAGAGGAATTCCAGGCTAGAACCTCAGTGTGGGATGCTGTCCCAGTGGCTTCCAGAAGCACTCACAACTGGCCTGCTGATGGCTGTTTCCGTCCAAAGGCCAAGCTCCCTTTGAATGGTTGGGCAAGGGATAGTGGAAACGAGGAACTGACTTAGATAACAGACTTCAAATTATTCGTGAGCATCAAATTATCCCTGGAAAGGTCCCAGTAGAGGACCCAGGTCTTTAGGCAGAAGAGAGCCTCTGCCTTAAATACACCTGGACTGCATGGAGATGCAGAGGGACCTGTGCCCCGGCCCTCAGCCCTGTCCTCAGGAGCCACGCAGGCCACTGACACACACGGAAAAGGGAACAGTTAGTGGAGTGCAACCATGCTGCCCGCGCTTGCTAAAGGCGAATGTGTTTTCTCAGAAAGGAGAAACCATCTCTCCATCCAAACTCCATCATAATGATCTTTAAAAGCATTAGCAAGAACGAGGCATTGAAAAAAAGAATTCCCTCAGGTTTCCTAGTACTGAGTGGTGCCCCTTTCACAGTAAACACTCCCTTTAAATATTTTATGTCCTTATAAAATGTGTGGGTATTTGTGTTTGTGATTACTTCTGATGTTTCCTTGATGTGAGATGGGGCTACAATAATGGACCCGCACTTGGAACAATGGGTTACAGAAACCCGAATGTTCTGGCAGACCGTGTTTTGTCTGTGGCTATGGTCACGTGCTCACTCCGGATGTACTGGACGGTTCTAGGAGTACTGAGAACAATCCCACAAGTGACAAGCAGGGTTACATGAAGCTCAAACTCTGCCCGGCAAACAGAAGAACTGGCAGAGCGCAGAGGTGGCCTGCAGAATAGGACAAATAACCCCCAACAACCCAGCAGATGGAGTTGGTGTTTAGGATGCATAAAGAACTGTAGAAAGTGGGCCATGTGCTTGTCGTGTAAACATGGGTCCCCAGCAACCATGAGAAAGCAGTAAAAGCAGGGGGCGGGAGCATGGGTCAGAAGTGTCTTCTTGTCTTCAGGAATAATGTGAACTGAAGCCAAGGACAAGGGGGGAAGTGACAGAAGCCTCTCAAGGGCAGTCTGAGGGATAGGATAGAGGGAGGGGTGGGTCCTGTAGGGAGAGGCTCCTTCTCACATGCTGGTGGGGAGTGTGGCAAGGGACGCAGAGAATTACTGGTGCACTAGAGAAGGCAGGTTGTTGCTGGAGTGTACCACTGTTAAGTAAGAGAGCAGGAAGCAGAGTGAGGGATTCCTCCCAAGTGAAGTGGTGGGCACATGGAGGAGGGGATGGGGTGGGCACAGGAGGAGGGGATGGGGTGGGCACAGGGAGAAGGGGATGGGGTGGGCACGGGAGGAGGGGATAGGGTGGGCACGGGAGGAGGGGATGGGGTGGGCACGGGAGGAGGGGATGGGGTGGGCACGGGAGGAGGGGATGGGTGGGCACGGGAGGAGGGGATGGGGTTCCTGACTGTTGTAAATGCTGTAGCAATGAGCAAGAACGTGCAAGTCCCTGTGTAGTGCTGACTTTGTCCCTGGTTCTGTTCTCAAGAGTGAACAGTGCCATCATATGGTAGCTCAGATTGTTGTTTGGAGACCCCCCCCCATGTTGGTTTCTGGGAGCAGCAGTTTGTACTCCTACCAGAAGCAGATAAGGCTTTTTCCTCATTAGCACTTGTTACTGTCTGCTGCCTCGATGACAGCCATTCTGGCTGGCCTTCATTTTCCAACGCCTAAGGAAGTTAAACACCCTTCCCCGTGTTTATTGACCATTCATATCTCCTCTGCTGAGACTCTCTGTCCCATTTATCAGCCCTGTACTGGTCGGCTCATCTCCCATATGTATGTATGTATAGATGTATGTATGTATGTATGTATGTATGTATGCATGCATGTATGTATATATGTATGTCAGATCTGCCACTCAGTATGAGCTCACAGATTTGACTAGAGTGGCCAGCTGTTGGGCTCCCAAGATCCACCCATCTCTCGCCCCGCAGCACTGGGGTTATGACCATGTGTGGCCCTGTTCCAGATCTGATGCCTTCAATGTGTAGCATGTGACAGCAGTATCTCTGCTGATAATAATTGATTCTCCCTCAGCACCTGAAATGCCTCACGTAGCGAGGGCAAGAGGGACTGCAGGCAGCTTCCAGAGGCCTAAAGTGCTTATTTACAATTTTCAGAATTAAAATGTAATTACATCATTTCCTCCCTTCCGTCTTTTTTCCAACAGCTCCCATGCGTGCCCTATTCCCTCTCCAATTTATTGCTATCTTTAAACATTACTGTTACACACATGTATAGACACAAACATATACAAATATAACCCACTGAGTCCATTCAGTCTCGCTTACACGTGTGTGGTTTCAGGGCTGACCACTTGGTGCTGGCTAACGCTGCCGAGCGATGAGAGTGCCGACAGCAGAGGAGCCTCAGAGCCACTCCCAGGCTCCGCCTCTACCGCAGGGCCAACTCAGACCACTTGGAAAAACTGATGCTCATAACTGTCACACTTGGAACAGTGTATGTGAATGACTGGAACGGTCACACTTGGAACACTCTTTGTGAATGATTGTAAGGGACACTCACACTTGGAACAGTGTATGTGAATGACTGTAACGGTCACACTTGGAACAGGGTATGTGAATGACTGTAACTGTCACACTTGGAACAGTGTATGTGAATGACTGTAACTGTCACACTTGGAACAGTGTATGTGAATGA